ATATATATATATATATATATATATTTATAATTTTAATATTTTTAATATATGTTATAATTTATAATTTTTAATGTATAATGTATTAACAAAATTTAAGTATCCAAATTAATATAAAAAAGAATAATGATATTTTGCAAATTAGGTATATGATATGTAATAATACTTATAAGTCTTCAGATTTAATTAGTTTAACAAAATAAATATAAATTTATAATGTGCAATATAATAATAAAAATATGATTACGAATTTTCTATTGATATTCATCTAATATAAAAAAACAAAAAGAAAATTACTACGTTTTATTTTATTTATTCTAAAATATTAGGAACTTATTGATGAATACAGTATAACATAAATATATATGTCTAAATAATCGATAAATGCTTTCGTAGCTTCATCTCTTCCGTGACGCAATACCATTGTAAGATCTGTTGACTTTTTAAAAATACATAATATAAAATACGTAAAGCGGCCAAAATAAAAATGCAACCAAGTTCGATGCAATTAAATGACATTTATAATTATTGTATTTACCATAACATGTAATTATACCAATACAATAAACAGAAAAAATATATCATTAGCGTGATGCATTTTGCTACATCTCAGGTTGAAAATACGTAAATACTACAAAGATTTTCTCCATATATGACGACCGTTTAATGCCGTGACCATAGTTATTTCCGTAATGGCGTCATCCCGTTACAAAATATAAATTTTTTTTAAAGAGTAATGGAAAAGATTAAATAGATTAAATAGATTAACATTCGATTAAGTCTGTCAGATAGATTTTAAAAAGCCGGTTTGTCAACAAAAAAATAACTATCATTTCAAAGAAAATCAATTTTGTAAGAATTAACAAAATATGTTCGATAAGAAGAAAAATATTATCAGTAAAAATGATAAATCTATCCTTATTAGAATAACAAAAATATACTAGAAATTTAAATGTCATTTATCAAAAAACTGAAAATATTGTGATACTCCATATTTAAAATTTTAATATGAATTTATAAAATTTACCATATCTTCAAATCACTTAAATAAAAAATTCAAATCAAAATTAAATTCTGATTCATAATTAAAAATACTAATTTTAAATATATCGAAATAAATTTTTATGATGCACTTAAAATATATAATGATTGTATAATTTTTACAATACTAAATAAATTCATATAATTTTTAAATAATTATTTAAACTCATGTTATATGATCATCAATAAAGTAATCAATATGTACTAGAATTTTGTATTGAAATTATTAATAATTTTTAATAAGTTTATTATTTCACTATCTATAATTAGAACATAATTTTAGAACTTATATTGTAAAATTTTTCTTTACATATGTGAAATCAAAATGGTGGCTCAAATCAATTCTAATGGTGATATAAATCAAACGAATAATTTACGAAAATTAATTAAATTAAAAAATTAAAATTCACAAAAAGTCAATATTACCTTAAAGATAGCGAAAAGATTTTAACAGTACTGCGCATTGCTTTTCATCTTGTAAAACATGAAAATTTGCTAAGACAAAAAAGAATTATATAAAATGCCTAAAGAGATCAAACTATACAGAAATTTCTATAGAACTTGCAATATGATAAAACTTAATATATTTATTATATAAAAACTTCTCATTTTACTTATACTTTTAAAAAAAAAGTAGTAATAACTTCTGAATACATATCAAATACATCAATATAATAACGATAACGCAATTGTCTTAGGAATATTAGTCACAAATGCTAATAATTATTATAGCGCTTTCTCCGTCGTTGTCATGAATATCGTACAGAATTCCGGAAAGGTTTCAAGACATTTTGCTAAGGTGACATTGTTTCGATTGTCTCGGCCATTTTACATAGCGTACCTTCTAGCTATAACGATATTAATGTCGCAATGAAACGAGTATCTAACGTATTTCATTTCCGAATTTTTTGTTTTCTAATAATTTCAATTATCATTCTCAATTTTAATTTCTCAGTTGAAACAATATTAATATGCTTGAAATATCGGTACAAATACTAATATATTAGTATACAGAACAAAATAAAAATCCCTCGAGATAACACATCGGAGTCTTTTCTTCCCTTTTGATCATATTATCTTGTCTTGTGTCGACAAACATAAAAACATAACTTTTGCCAAATTCTAACTTCTCAACATGAACACAAAAAAGAACAATTATTAATATTTACATAAAAATATGTTATAATAAGAAATTAATTTTAATCATTGGATAATTTTTTTAAAGTAAATACATGTTACGTAGGAACTCATTTATTTTGTGATGTCACAGTTGTGATGTTGTATGGAAGCGTCATAGTACGTAAACGAGGTCGTGTGTGCATATCTGCACGTTTGTCAATTATAAAAAATATTAAGTTATCAATTTACTTTAATTATACTTTCAAATAAATGTATATACAATGTGTCCTTCTATAATAACGTAAAGAAAAGAGAAAGCACAAGAAGAAAAAAAATAGATGTAGACATTAAAAGGATCTACTCACAGGCGGCGGTTTGATCTTACAAATGCCAGACTTCTCTGCGATCGGTCGTATTTTTGCGATGTAGCCAAGGGGGTCGTGAAACTCCTCAATACTCGGTTCGAAGACCGGCGCTTCTGGCGGTATGATGAACTCGAAGTCCGAATCACCACGATCACAAGCCATGTCTTGGGTGCAACGATAAGTCCCGAAAAAATCTTCACAACCGAAGTTCGTGTCGAACCTCGATACCATGACTTGAATACTCGACACAGCTTGGACGCGGATAGGTGGCCCTCACACACCTAACGCGGGTGAGGACCTCGCGTCAGGTTTAACACTGTTACTCAGTCACCGGCTGGGAGAATTTATTTGGAAATGTGCTTCGATTAACCATCTTTATGAACTGCATTTGTGTACCTCGTGAGAAGCAGTTGACAATGTATGGATGCAATACGCACGAAATGCACAATACACACTTTCCACGGTATCACGCGGAGCCTCGCACACGAGCAACTGTCCTATTCCTTGCTTCATATACCTCTTCTTCCCTTGTACCTACTTCAGTATAATACAATAGTGGCGCCACCTTGCATCAAATGGATCACTAGCTTTTCATTTACTTTTTTTATATAAAATTAATATCAGATATATATAATAATATATATAAATAATTATTTACACAAAAAATTAAGAATTATATAAAAACACATTAAAATCAATTCATTAATAATAATATTTTTGATAAAATATATTTAAATTAAAAAAAGCATAGACTAAAATTATAAGTATGAATGATGAACAAAAACGAAAATTCCCTATGAAATGTTAATATATATTGTTATTATATAATCAAACTAATTATTAATTTTTGATTTATGGATTTATAAACAAATAAAAAAATCGTGATTATTTTATATATTTAAAATTAATTACAAAATATAATTTTATTTTAATTTACATAGTAAATTATTAATTTAAAATATTAATATTTTATTAATATTATTATTTTATCAAATCAATAAAAATATATACATATACATATACTCATATATTCCATATAAATTTTTCCATCAAAATAATATATAAATTATTACTAAATGTATAATTTTAATGCAAATATTTATAATTATTATTTTAACAAATTAAAAGTAATATAAATTTTTTTTTACATCATATAATTTAAATTTACCGCTGTTACATATAAGATAAGAAAACACGCTATCTAGCAATGTGGTACTTACTTCACAATCTCTCGAGATTTGTAACGTTTCACATCGAAGAACACAAATTACGTAAGTTGCATGGAAACAATTATTTTTTTTGACATAATTTTATAACCATAATATTTAATAATTAATTCAAATAAATAAATCTATTTTTTATAAATAGATTTTTATAAATTATCTATCTCTATATTTATATAATGATTTTTTTGATACTTATTTTGTTTTTTGGTTATGTTTTTTTATATTCTAAAACATTAATATAATTCTTTTCCAGAATTTTGTGAAGATGGGATTAAAGTTTGGAAATCTTAAAAAACTAAGTGGTATTACATTTTTTCGCCTTAGTCCATATGAACAAAGAGCTTTTGCTGGAGTAGGTGAAGCTACTGGTAGAATGATAAAACGTCTCAGATCATATATTTTAACTGCTGGACCTTGTAAGAATTTTTTATTAACTATTTGATTAAATATATAATTTGTTAGTTATATAATATAACTTACATTATTTATTTAATTAAATATATAATTTATCAGATTTACAGATTATAATAGTATATTAAATATTATAATTAATGGTATATTGTTACTTATTGAAATATTTTATTTTATATTGCAGTTTTCCTTATGAGTTATGTCATAATGGAATGGGCTACTGAAGAAAACCATAAAATGCACCGTAAAAATCCAAAAGACTATGAAAATGATGTATAAATATTATAAACTTTAATTTAGTATTATCTATGTATTTATGTTTAATATAATACATACATATATATATGTACATAATTAGCATTAAAATGAAACTCATTAACTCTTTATAGAAATATAATTTATTAATTTAAATTCTTTTTACAACAAATAAATTAATTAATTAAATATTTATTATATTTTTAAAATATTAATTCTTCTGAATAATTTTAAAATATATTTTGATTTTAAATTTTGAAGTGTTTAAATTTTATTCAATTGTGATAATTATAATTTGCCTTTAATTATATTTTATTAGTTCATAATTCAAATGAATGCTCTAAAATCATTTCTTAAAATTGAAATAACATAAAAATTTATATTAAATATTTTTATATAATTATTGTTAGATTTGCATTTAAATATTTCAATATGTAACATTAATTTTAACATTAATAAATATCTATAATTAAAAACAAAAATATTATTATAAGTTTATATTTTCATTCTATATAGTTTTTAAATTTTTCTTGTGTTGTAATAGTTTTATTGATATAAATATTTTTTTCAAGTTAATTAATTTCATATGATTGAATTTATATGTATATATGATATATAATATATAATACGTAATTTCTTTTATTCTTTAATTTATATTTTATTCATTGAAATTTATTTATTTCATTAAATGTGTTGAATATGAAAATATTTTCTATTGCTATATTTCAAAAATTCATAATGAAGATAGAAGAAAAAAATTAAAATACTTTATAATCAATTATAATAAGTAATTTTTAATTTCTTAAATCATTAGGGAAATTTGTTATTTTTTACTAAATTGTAAATTTATTTCATTTCATAGTTTTTTTTTTTATAACTGTGGTAATTCTGTTTTATAGTTTTCATTTTTAATTTATTTTATTATATAATTCAAAACATTAATATTTATATAAATACATTAATTATTTTATTGTTATAATCAGCCAATTGTATTTTAATTACAATATCTTATTAGTCATAAGAATATCTAATTCCGTTAGATCTAACCGCCATATTGTGCAAGTATGATTTAACCAATGAGAAAGTTTGAATCAGGAATGCACTTGGGCAAAACAGGTAAGAAGCAAACAAGCAAAGAGCAATCAGATAGTCGTTCAGATATTTCCAGTCGAGCATGATCGGCACGTAGCTCTTTGTCAAAAGCTTCTCCTTCTTCTCTTTCTCTTTCTTTTTCTCTTTATGTGCATATTGTGAAAATTTGTATATAGGTAAGTAAGTACAGTGTGAAATTGTTTCGTACGCATTTACGTATCGCGTGAGTTGTGATTTTTTTATACGGATTTGTCTCATAAGGATCCCAAACTCCAAAACAGAGATTCAACGGACTCGGTGAAACGCTGCTGTCAAGGTATTTATGGAAATGATTTCTTGACTGGAGTCATTGTACCGAGTACACCGACGTGGATTTCTCCCCGCGGAGAATCGTCCGTCGCGGTCACACCTGTTGCTGTACGTCTTCGATGATAATCGCACATGAACATATCTATATATGATTTGTGTGGCTTTGTTACGATACAAATTTAAATTTTCATTCTTAAAGAAAATCTTATCAACAATATAATTGAATTTCTTTTAATTAGCATTTATTTGTATTGTAATTGACGAAATTAATTTCATGAAAATTTTCGATCGTTGTACTCGGCCACAGTATATCTCTGAGAAAAAATTAAATACAATTTTATTTTTATTATAAATATTTAATTGTGAGAATTAAATAAAAACTTGAAAAATTTTTACCGTAAAATTATACGGATAAATAATATTAATATGAGACAATAAATTCATTTGAAGTTTTAGTTATTGTGCTAAAAGAAATATTTATGCAAATGACACTTTGAAGTCACGGTGAATATATAGAATATGATTGCTTCATAATATTAAGTACACGAATATTACGGAGACTAATAGATTTTGATTCTCTATGTATGATTTTTTTACACAAATATGCATCGTGTGCAATCAAATTATATTGAACACGTTATCACTGTCACGTTCAATCGTGATGATTCATTGTTTTGGCATCGTTTTAATTTTTTTTTTAAATTACTTTTCAATTTAAAATCAAATTTTGAACATTTGATATGTTTTTAATAGATTAATAATTTACATAAAATATTAAATATAATTTTACATAAATTAATATATTTTTTGTTTATCAAAATTATAATAGAATCAGATTATGAAAATAAGAAAGAAATAAATTAAATATTTTTTTATTATTTTAAGGAGGTTCCTCGATTATGACATTTTCAATGGTAATCTCTCAACTCAAGTAAATATATTGTTTATCGCTAATTGATAATGTTTTCAAGTTTTAAAAACAATTGTTTTTAATTTATATTTATGTTAAATATCTTGTCTCGTACAAAATTTTTAATCGATCACGTAGCCAATGTAATTGCAGGAGTTATTTCGCAAGCTTCTATGTTTTCATTCGTGAATAATATGAATATGTAATTTATGTTCTTTTTTATAAATATAAATTCGCTTCAATAGGTTAAAGTATATAATTCTAATTATATTTTATATTTATAAAATTAAAAAAAAAATATTAATTACAAATAATTGAATATATGTGAAAATATTTAAAAAATATTAAATTTGAAATATTAAGATAATTTTAATCTCTTAATGATACACACGAAACATTGAAGATGTCGATTAATACTGACTACATGGCAATCACCTGTAAATTACACCTACGAAATACCTACGTAGTTCATTATGAGTGTCATGACATAAATTGCAAATATTTACCGTACTCTGCGTGCATCGATATTGCATTGAATGACCTTCGATACTCTGAGAAAAAGTCGCATTCATGTAGTCTTTTACAACTCACGAGCAACGGAACACACTAAATATTTTCTAAGAAATACTAATCACATATCAATCTTTTAAAATTAAACTTTACACAATATTGTTTATGAACATTATTTTTCATTCATAAATAAGATAGATTTATAATTTTCTATTTTTATAATAATTATTTTATAATAATAATAATAATAATAATAATTTTATAATAATTTTTATAATAAATTTTTTATAATTATCTATGATCATTTATCTATGATTACAAATAATCTCTTTTTTATTGAAAACAAAAATATATTAAAAATAATTATACACATATAAAATGAGTTTTTATGTGATGTTGCTGAATTTAATGAAATCACGAATATAATTTTTTTGATTATTATGATACATTATAATATTATCAATAAGCAAATGTAGTCGCAATTTAATTATTTTTTTGATTTAGAAAGACAATGTAAAATGTTTGAAAGTTATTTAAAAATTCTGTTCTTGATAACACGCATATATAAGAATATTATTTTTAATCGTTATTGAGAATATAATTTATAGTAGTTCTTTCATAATAGTGTAGAAAATTTTGATAATCAAATATTATTAAATAATTGAATTAGGATTAGATATCGATTAATCGAGATTAATCTTTTAAGCTATGGATGCAAGTAAGTGAAAAGTTCATTCGCTCGGTCCATTCACTGTAAAACTTGTTCGCGACCGGCGGATCAGTAGGTATGCGAGGCACATTGGCAACTTTCTTTCCACTTTTTTAATACTCGTACTACAGTACGTCCGCGATATGTTTACTTTCAACAAACGTTTATCTATCGTGCCTTTACAAATTGGTATTTTTTCAAAAGCTTCGATTATTTCCAACTTATTTCGATCCTCCATGGATATGAGATGACGAATTCCATTGATAGAAATTTTATGAATTTTTTATGAATTTTTTTTTCATTAATCTATTATTAGATTGTGATTGGAATAAAGATAATATTATTAAATATTACTTTTTAAAGTTTCATTAAATTAATTTAATTTATTTTGATTTTATAGGTTATGTAACAAATATTTCATTTATTGTAGTTAATAGTTAATGTAACAATATAAAATACTTACATTAAATACGTTTTGAATTTTTGGTAAAATGTTTTGCGCTTTTTAATTATTTTGCATCATTCATATTTATTATATACATAACAATTAATTTTTTTCATTATCATATATAAAATGATTAAAAAATAATTCTTTAAGGAAATTTTTAACTATATTTATTTTATTAGAATATTTCATATCTTATTTTTTTTTTTTTTTTTTCATTCATAAGAATCTATTCATTTTCTTCTTCCAATAACTTTATATGTATATTCAATATTTATCTCTATAATTTTAAAAAAATTATTTAAGAAATTGATAACAAATATTAAAGCAACTAAATATATATTATACATAATACATAATACATAATTTCCATACATACTTTTTTTTTCATTATCCAATCTTAATCATATTTTATTATCTCACAGAATCTGAAATGATTTTAATTCCTTAAAAATGAGCAACCTTCACTACGATATTCCACGAACTGGCGTATGAAGGGAATGCGAATAAAGTATTTGTTGTTCATGCTATGATAAATCGGGAAGACGTGAATTTTGACATGAATAATGCTGCTTGTAACTTTACACTAACAAATATTAACGACAACATAAATTTTTTTCCTTTTTCGTGTGCTCAAACTTTAATTCTAACCTAAAAGATAACATGTATTACATTACTACTTTGATGCGAAAAAAAGAGAAATGTCGTAGTAGAAAACAGCTTTTATAGCTTGAATTTTCCAACTTCCACTCTTTCTTGATCAATCACGTGACACTGTTCTTATATGACAATCGTAAATTAATTTCAAACAATTTTATCGCGTCATTTTTATGAAATCGAGTTTTATGGTGCTGACTATACGCCATCGAGAATTCGCCCCACGGTATGCAACCAGAGAGATGCGATTACCTTGTGCGCGCGCACAAGTATGTACTCGAGAAGAAAACGCGAGAATGTCAGGACTTTCCGTCCCTTTCCCGTGTCATTTGGACTTCGCACTGCAAATCAGTTTACATCGTGCATGCTCATTTCCAAATTAGACAAATAATATTTTTGCATAATTTTGTTGCATTACAATACAAATTGTATATTTGATTGTGTATACAGCTTGGAAAATGTGAAAAATGTATAAAAACCTTAATCTAAGAGTATAAAAGCGAGATGGATAATTTATTTTAATATGTACATATGTGATCTATTATGATCCTGTATTGTTCATTAATCTTTGAAAGTATTTTTGAAAACTGATTTGAAAATTAGATGTTTTGTAATCTAAATTAAATCATCAGATGATCATTTCATTATCTTTCATAAATATTTGATTTATTTAAAAATATATTGCATCAATTCGACGAATGATCATAGTAATTATTGTAACAATTATATTAAAAAAAATTATTTTTTCAATTATATTAGGATGCATTATTATTTATAATAAAAAATTTAATTAATTTCTATCTAAGCATCCAATATTCCTTCTTCAAATTAAACTTTTAATACATTCTTTTTCAAAATTATTTCCGATATTTTCGTTAGACAATTATCAGATAAATGTTCCAAACATGGCGTTCACCTAGAATACGACTGCCTTACGGTAGAATTCCATCTTAGACAACGAAGAAGAAGGTATCAGAAGGTTGAATGCCATTTCCGTCAAGTACGGTCAAGGACATGATTACTTCAGCGCATTCCTGGGATGAATTTTTCTTTTAGGGCGTGTCCACATCCATAAGCAATTATACTTGTATACTTGTCACAGAATCGTAAATGTCCAAGTCTCATAACATGCTTTTCTTATCTTTTCTTATCCCTTATTCGTATATCAATTGCAATGGCATTCGAATTTTAAAGGAGTACCTGATCAGTGAATTTTTACTTCTTTTTTTGATCGACCATCACTGACACACCCGGAAATTTACATAATTTAATCCACAGTCACAAACAGCGATAAGAATTTCCATTTCTATTGCTAAGATCCTTAGCAAAACCAACATCAATGGAATCTTGTTGTCTATCCTTAATCGTGATAAATGATCGTTAATATTGAGTAAATTGTAGATAGAACACTTTATTTTCTATTTTTCGGTCCATAAATACTTACTTGCTTCATAAATTATTAACATTTTTAATAGGAATCGAGAATTTTATTATGTATTTTATTAAGATTATTAATAATAATCTTTTTTGAAATTATATTTTGGCTCCATACTTTTAATTTTTAATGAATATTTTCATAAGGAGTATCATTGAATTATCAAATTTTATTTCTTCAAAAAACCGTTAGTTTTCTTCTAATTATATTTTTTCATTCATAATTATTTAAAATTCTTTGCATTCTACAAAATTATAAATTTTCTTCAAGTTAAATTACTTGAAGACAGATTAGAATATTCTTTATGTACTATTACAAATTTATTTCCCACGAAGAAGAATTTTGCTATAAAAAACGGTAATAATTCAAGATATATAACTCAAAAAAGTTTTATATTTTCTTTTAAATTTTACATATTATATATTATATTCTTTTCTTCCAGCTTATTATTAGTTTTTTCTTTCACGAAAAATTTTCAAGATCTTTATAAAAAAATTCAAATATTCAAGAATTTCAGAATATTTTCTATTGCTAAATATAAAGTAGCGAATTTGAATAAAAATCAATAGAAATCTGGAATTCGAAATGTCATTAAAGAACGACCGGATTGTGGTCTCGAAATGCATTGAAATATGTGTATACATATATATATATATACACACCTTCAATTCTAAGATTTATAAACGAAACCCACACTCACCTTCCTTCCTTTTCCCTTCCCTTTTCAACATGATTGCTATTAGGTCGTTGTTACGACACTTTTACACCGCTGTTACGACTCTAACAGGAGAATTGCTTCATCGTTCCTATGCTCGGGGGCTCTAAATCGAGCCTATAATCAACTCGAATCGTCGATATATCGAATCACCTTGCGCTTGCGCTGCTTCATCGAGCATATTATAGTCATATGTGCATATATTCATTGTGGTAACAACAATCATGCGCGAAAAATATTGTTTCATCTCTCTTAATGAAGATGCTTAGGCAAGATAGATTTATCAAATCTCGTCCGTTCATGCACTGAAAAAGATATATAAAAAAATTTTAGCATAGGAAAAAATAGAAACGAAGAATTAAAAAAAGAAATATAATAAAATAAAAGAAATGGAAGGAGAGTCTCGATCTCGAGGAAACCCGACAAACGTTCCCACCGTCGATGATACAATCAATTTTTATCCAGTCACGTATCTCACGTTACGCAACGCCATTAACTGATCGCGATATAATTCTACGACCCAAATCCGTCCACACGTAAAATTATATACGTTTGAAATGAAATTGGACTATTAAACAAAACGTCCTCGTTCTTCAACTAGGTAGGTTTCACACTCGTTTTCAGTATTCTTATTTAGATCGCGATTCCGACTATAATTTATAATATGTGAATATATTCGTTTAAAATTTAACGAGGTTAAGAATTGTTCGAAATACAAGTAAAAATTAGTAAGCAATTTGAATTTATAAATAATTTATTCGATAAAAATATATGGATATAAGAAAATAATAAAAATAAGGATGGGATAAAAACAAATCTTTTTTTTTTTTTTTTTTTATTGTTATTTGCAGATCTTCAACTTTTAGGGATTAGATAAATAACGTTACACTTGATAAGAGCGTGTAACAATGCTCTTTTCCGTTATGCGGATTCTCAACATGCTTAATCCCAACAGCAAACACGCACAGTGAAAGCATTCACCGAACAGACGAACGTTTATCCACCCGGTAGGAACCGGGCGTCGTTTCCACATTCAGATTTCGAATATTAATTACCTTCTCGCTACTTTTACCATAGTTTCATTACGTTCAAAGAGAGAGAAAAACTGGAAAGACCGGGTGTACACTTTATATTTGGTATATATACACCTGATCGATCAGCCATGTCTTGATCCTTTGATCGAAGTCTCTTCTTATCTGATTTAACATTTGAAAATGTAATTATTGCTTATCAGATTTCCAAGCATCTGAAAATCTGATTAATGAGTAAATTAGAAATTAGAAACTATAGTCTTTTTTTAATTTTAATTTTAATGACAATTTTAAAGAAATACTATCTCTATTTATTAACTAAACTTTAAAATTATTTTGAGATTAATCTTATAAAATTATAGAATCCATTAAAAAAATATGATTTTTATTTAAAAAAGGATGAAATATTAATTTATCTATTAATTTATATTAATGTAAGAATTTTGATCTATATTTTAATATATATTTTTTTTTATATTATTTCGATATCTAAAAAAAGATCTTTAAAAATATATATATATAAAGAACGATGGAAAACAACAGTAAGTCACGATTACACAAGATAATTCACAAACTATACTATTAGTCTAGACATTAGTACGATTCAATATTCTTACTGATTACCTGGTAAATCATGCGACCTAAAACAAGCACGTTTCTCACATGTGGAAAGGCACGTGAGGAATTTATACGCCATCCACATCGTATAACGATTAAATATCTTCTATGATTCTTCTAGTTGCCTTTTACGAATAACTGTCCTATTTTGTCAAATGGATCGTTAAAATATTTCATTATTCAACATTTTGATGTGAATTTTATCGAACGATGCCTTGAAAAGTAAACATCTCTCCTACAGAGTTAGAAAATTTACAACCTAAAAAGAAGGAAATACCCTGTCAGACTTGCATCGATAGGAGCTTTTATACCTGGTTGAAACTTCCTGCTTGTACCCGTATGGATGCGAAACGTTCGCACTCGTGTAACGAGGCGTCAAATCAAATAAATTTCTCTTGGAGCAAATTCAAAATTTCACATTCCTTGCATATAACTATGCAAAAAATAAATCATTTTTATAATTTCTTTCTTTGCCACTATTATTTTATTTGATTAATAAGAATATACGAAATATTTTGTACAACGTATATTTAGAAAATTAGTATAAGATAATACATATAATAGAATAATAACAAAATGTTGGGAATATTTATCAAAAAATAGAAACAAAACTAGACGCGATAGTAAAATCTTGACTATAAAATTCATGTAAATTTTGTTGTATATGATTAGAAATCATATATAATTTTATATAATTTGAATGTAAAAAGAGAACGACAAAAATTATATACGAAGGGGAAGAGTAGCGAAAAGATTTCTTAAAATGAAAAATCTTTTCTACTTTACCTTATTAATCATCTTCTTAATCTTTTCTTGAATTTTTCAATACATATCGATATTTTCGTTTTTATGTATGACCCTTGGCGCCACACGATCCGTGAAGCGTATTTCTGTAAAAGTGTTTGTCAATGAATAATATTTATTGACCCATTGTATCCGCGGGATCTCACCTTCGGACGCTGAGGCTCGATAAATGGAAGGAACGCAAAAGGAATTCTCGACATGTCTGGCGAGCGAATTAGGCTCATTGGAATTTCACTTTGGTTACAAGCAGGCTTTCGTGCCGCCAAGTATGGTCCTCATGACCCGGTAGCCGGATACGATACGCGACGTGCGAGTATCGCCCGTCTCCATCATTAAGTTATTAAATCTATACGCCTAACGAACCTCTATGATTGTCGTCTTTGTTTCTTAGCGAATTGACTAATAAAAAATCGCGTTAAAAGCAATTTATGATTTATGATTTTTCAACACAAGCATAAGATATTTTTGTCGAACTTATAAAATTAAAATAGAATTGAAATCGTAAAAATTTGTTCAAGTTGGGATCCCTGTTGTTTGTTACAGATAAAGGGTGAACGATTATCTGATCACAATGCCGTATTACAATAGTGGACATAGTCCTTCCACCTATAATAAAGGTAACAATAACACAACACTATTGAATCTTTTTTTCATTAATAACAACAGAATGGAATGACAATTGGAATGATTCTTGTTAATAGATTATCTTAATTATTGTAATTTTGTTTTGCGTTTTGTATATGTCGGACTTGAACATTCATAATTTATTATAATATTAACCAAAACGTTTGATTGACGATCAATTATTATTAATAAATTAATTAATGTATATAGATGGAGGATCGAGTGGTCCGTCGAGCACATCTGGTGGCCGTGTGAGTAGTTCCGAGCCGACATACATGATGGAGCATTTGGCCACGTTCACGGTCACGAAGGAAACCGGTATTGTTTATCCAGCGGACGGTATGCGGCGACTTTTGCAATTGGAGAAGAGTAACGGCATTTGGAGCCAAAAGATGCAGCTCCGTCTGGAACGGAACTGGGTGCTGATTATGGACAATGAGACAGGGGTAAAGATCCTCTTTCGAATACACGTAGAGAAATTCTGCACGAATTCTTTTTTTCTGTTTCTTTCTTTCTTTTCTCTTAAAAAAGAGAAAAGAAACGTAGCTTATGATATTTATAGCGAACGATCAAATACGAAGTGGAACATTTGTGAAATTACATTGCGTACAATTTAAGGCAATTTCACTTAATGCATCGTTGATAAATTCGTATGCAGGCCGTCATGGAGCGTTTCCCAGCCTCGTTGATACAGGAACCGACCGCGTTCACGTCGAGGGATCCTATGGAGATGTATAACAACATTCTCGTCTTCACAGTGGCGGATGACAGTGGTTCCGGTCAACGGGCAGAAATGCATATATTCCAGTGTCAAAGTGTCTCGGCACAAGATCTCGTCGAGGATCTGAAGATGTTGCAAATGGGTAAATTGGTACCCGGTGGTTCGCCAAGAGGTCCAAGAGGACGTATTCCACCGCCTCCCACTTTACCACCGCCAGAACCACCCTTAAACGGGGTTAATGTCCGAGAACAAGTATCTGCATTTAGTGCTAACAATGGTATGGTTCTTTCGTATCTTTTCTCTTTAATCCATCTTTTTTATTTGAATATTTTGTGAAATATAAATCTATAAGATGGAATAATTTATTATCTCTTTTTTTCGAAACACAGCCGATAATCAAAATGATATATCTCGCGAGGAGAACAATGACGAAGTGTCCTCGACATCTTCCGAAAAGTATGAACGCGACGTGACGATCCTGAATCATTGTTTCGACGATATTGAAAAATTTATCGCGCGTCTGCAATATGCGGCGGCCGCTTCTAAAGAATTGGAACGTCGAAGGCGCAATCGAAAGTCGAAGAAAAGAAATCTCGGTGACGGGATGCTGACAATGAGAGCCAAACCACCACCAGAGATGGAATTCATCGATATCTTTCAAAAATTTAAGCTGTCGTTTAATTTGCTGGCTAAGTTGAAGGCTCATATTCACGACCCCAACGCTCCTGAACTAGTGCATTTTCTCTTTACGCCGCTTGCTTTGATCGTGGACGCGTCTCACGATACTAATTATGACCCTAACTTGCCAAGCAAAGTTGTATCGCCGTTATTGACTAGAGAAGCGGTAAATTTGTTGATTAACTGCGTCACAAGTAAAGAGACGGAGCTTTGGCATTCGTTGGGCGATACGTGGTTAATACCACGTGATCAATGGAAAGGTCACGTTCCCCCCTATCACCCTATCTTCATGGACGGTTGGTCCCCTGAGTATCCAATACCAGAAGACAGAGACCACGATCATCTTGCTTCGTTATTGAACGCAGACAAACAGAAGAGGGACGAGCTCCCTGAACAACAGAACGATTCGTACTATAATCATCGAGAAGTTGACGAATCTCATTACAGCAGCGATTATTTAGAGTACGAGAGCAGAGAAGAGCGTGCCGGTAACGAATATTTTGATAGAAATTACGGTACCGGTTCAGAGTTGTACGGTAGAGAAGAAAGAGTGGTCGATCAAACGAGAGCGCATAGCGACATATCCGTAGATTCGATCGAAAGAACACCGAGAACTGCCGGCATGGAAAGAGCTCAGGAAGCTTGGTTAGACGACTTAGTGGCTAGACATGCGAAAATCGTGCAAGTTACTTATCCGAGGACGGCAAACAACGATAAAGAATTGACAGTTGTTAGAGGTGAATACCTAGAGATTCTCGATGATAGCAGGAAATGGTGGAAGGCAAGAAATTCCAGAGGCCAGGTTGCGCACGTGCCACACACTATTGTCACACCTCACAATCCTTCCCATTCTAACGACAACGATGTTTTCAACAATCCTTTGTACACGAGTCGATACCCGCGGCAGGGGCACGGCTATAATTACGAGGTGAGAGTCACTGCTTGAATGCTTTCTAGAACCTTCGTCTGCCTTAAAGAAAAATAATTATGTAAAGATGATTGCAAAGATTTGATTGAAGGAACGGTAATTACTGTGAAACTGTGTCATTGACTATAACAATAGCTATTGATTCTGATAATTATTTGTGAACTAATTTATCTTTAGCTATCTTCACTGAAATCATCTTCATTAAAATATTATTTTAAAATAAAGATTATTTAAAATTTTAGGATTCTGAAATCGAAAGAACCAGCACAAGTCCAGGACCTGAAGCCACTCATCGAACGCATGCGATTCCACCTCCCGCACCTGCAGATTGGGTGAGAAAAGAAAGACTTGGGAAAAAAGGTGAATTCCGGTATTTTTAAGCTATCTAGTGATTCAGAATTGTTTAGTTTTGTACGTTGCTTGAGGGATCGGAGAGGAATCGAATCAATAGGATAACTTTTAAGTTGTGGTCGCTGATATCAGAAAACTTGACAGAATAGACTATTAATTAAAGTAGCAATGCAATCAAAGTGCTTGAAGTTTTCACGATTCGTGTTTATATGATTGAAACTATTTAAGATATATTTCTTGATGGTTTCGATTATGAGATAAAGCTTGTTATGAAAATGATCAATAATTCAACATATATTAGCACCACAGCATATTGTGTCTTCAATCCTTGTACGTTTTCTTTTCTAAGCGTTCTTTGATCTTCAATTTTTTTTTCTTTTTAATGAATACTGTGTTTTTTCTACTTGTATATATTATATAAATATGAAGAAGAGAGTAATATCTAGATCGAATCCACCAACAATTATTGCAATAAAGCAAAGTAGAGAAATTATATTTGTTATAAAATGCGTTGGTTTTTCAAGTTCTTCGATCTTACCCAAAGTTTTCTTTTTATAATTTATATTAATGACTTTGATTCAAGAATATTGGGAAGAACTTTGAGAAAAACTCATCGCGATGCATTAGATATTAGTTCTTTTTTTCTTCTCTGAAGCCTTTAAACCAATTAACGATAAGGCGATGTTTTATCAAATACAAGTTTGCAATCAAAAATAAAATTGCAACTCAGGAAATAGAATGGAACATATTTTATTATTATTAAATTCAACGAACAAAATAATTTGATATTTTATGAATAAGTTGCAAATCAATTCTTATTCTTTATATTTGTTTAAAACATATAACTCATATAACAGTCAATCAGAAGTGTTCGAGTTTATCTTAATATCGTACCTTTTTTTCTTATAGTGATTATAAGAATGACTATCATATTTTTTTATATTTATCGACTAACCAAATCTTAGTATATATATATATATATATATACTTATATATACACCTATATATACTTAACAGAAGAAAAAAAACAAAGAATAACATGTATAGTTTTATATTAAAAATATTGTAACGTAAAAGCGTGAAGTTAACATATTGAACTGGTAAAAATTATAAATGCAACATTCGTGCGTTTCCGTTGGAGAGATCGTGGTGAAGTCATTGTGTCCGTCCATTATTATCAAATATTCGGCTTCACTGTAAGAAAAAGCTTGTCTGTTGAATTAAAGCTGTTGATAAAAATTATATCTTCCTTCGGTAATAACAAAAAATTTCGTTGAATCAATATCAGATACTTTCTTATGATTCTTATTCATCAACATTGTGATTCATTCTTTTTTTCTTTATCAATGGCTTTAATCATCGGTACAAAAATCTTTCTCTCGATGCTTCTATTTACGTGACGTTGCATGTGTCTGTATGCATCAGTGTGAATAAGCTTGTACAAATATAAACATGAAACATCGAGGAAGAAGAATTGTTGAATTTTTGTGATTCCTCTTTTATGAATCGTCAGATAAGAAAAATTGAATTCTAGAAACGGCGACATAATACAATCGCATACGATGAAAGAGAGAAAGAGAGAGAGAAAGAGAGAGAAAGAATATTAGAAAATAACTTAATTTTTATTATCTTTATTGCGAGATATACCGAGAAATCCCGCGACTGTTGATTTATATTATTGAAAAGTGAATACAAACGAGCGATGCGACATTTTCGCATTTTTAAATATAATATAGATAAAGTAGATGGGACATTATTGCAATTTTACAATCGCAACATCACTCGACTGTATAAAGTTTTTCTCGCTTGCCAAAGTTGAGTTACTCTTCTTTCTAAGATTTCTTTCTATTGTGACAAGTTGTTTTGCTACTACTTTATGCTCTAATAATACATAATTCAAATGCTTGATTCCAAGAATGTATAAGTTGATTTGAAATAAGTAACTCGACATTGGCTCTTGCACATTTATCCGTCATAGTTAATTTTCCAGCGCCGTAATAATTAGAGAAAGAGAGTAAAAAGCATCGAGCGAACTCTGCGTATCAACGAACACGTTCACGTTACTTTTTTATTGCGCAAAGTTTTGTGGTATAGATAATCGAGAGCTATAAACAATTACATGCAATTAACGCAAGCACTATCGATTCGTTCTCGAACGACCGGATTATTTATACACAGAAATCAATGATAGAGCCATTCTCGATGATACGATACTAACTAGTCTATCTAAGGGGTTAAAATGAGATATTGTATTACAGGAAATATGTTCAACGATGTTTACAAATTGGATCTCCTAAATTCTTCTTCGCACTTTTAATCTCTTTAGAGTTATTCTTGTAATTGTATTGCGATAATCTACCACCGTGCGAGCAATATAAATCGTGAAATTCTTCCACGAGGGACACTTTGCAATTAATAGTAAAAATATAATGCACGATCACGTAATCTATAATTTTATATATACTTCTTGATCGAGCGAAATCTATTTTTTCTTCTTTTTCAACTCTTTTATCTGTTTTGTGTCCATGGAATGGGAATTACGATCCGTCCAATATTTTTGTTGCACTGTAATTTATGTACATCACTTGATTAATAAATATACTCGGTTACAGATTGTACTTGTCTTTATGCATAAGTATACTCGTCCTATTTTAAATATTTAAAATCGTTGGTTGAACAATAAACTGTATTTGTAAATTCGTTGGTGCATCATTCGTTGCATTTGCTTAAAGTATGCTTCTTAATGTGATCGTCTATTGAAAAAGTGTTTAGTGATTTTAATCTTCAAAAATGTTGGGGTAAGTCCGTTTAAATAGATGTCTTAATGTCTGTAAAATTAAGCATTTTAATATGTATATTTTTGTATATGTATATTTCCAATATATATATATAGCATTGATTATTAATAATATTGTCAATATTAATTATATTGCAGATGAATCTAACGAAGAAACGACGTCTATTGGTAGTAACAAAGTAACATTTGCGATTAAACCTAACATCAATGAAAAAACGTCTATCAATGGAGATCAGAAACTAAAATCCAATGAAGTGACGGAGGTGGTTGAAATTCATGCACCACCTCCGGACGTACGTGAAGAAATCGCGAAGGAAATGTCGTCATCATCATTAACATTAACAATTACTCCACCACCACCTCCACTGCCTCCTTTAGAGAGTCAGATATCTGTTTCTTCGACTAATTCATGCAAATCAGTTACATTGAAGAGTAATCATACAATTAGCGGTAATGTAATATACAGTTTTATAATGCCCAAAGTTGTTTAATGCATGATGTGTTATTTTTTTTAGAGCTAAAAACTGAGAAACAAGTGCAAGAGGAACTGAAACAGGTATTAATGATATTTCGTGAGAAGAAAGATTATGGCAAGAGTATGGATCGTGAGCCTGTCTTGGATCAATATTCCACTCCTAGAGAAGTGCAAAATTGGCTTACGTTTAAAGGATATTCAGAAAAGTATTTCTTATGCAAATTCAAAAGAAAAAATTTAATTTGAAAATTTTTTAAATTTAAATTTAAATTTAAATTTTTCAGAATTTGTAAACAATTAAGAGACATGGCTGGTTCAGAAGTATTTGATTTAACAAAACGACAATTGGAACAATATTTTGGTATCGCGGAAGGTGCTAAACTTTTCAATCAAATTTCATTAGCACGAAATGAAAACAAGGTAAATAACAAAAATGAAATATTTTAAGCATGGAAATTTAATTTTCTTATCTTTCCTTATTTATAGACGAAGAGTTCTCGAACATCGGAATTAAAACAAATACTAGAAAAAGCTAGACACAAAGTTGAGGAACAATGAAGCATTTACTATCAAATACTCTATAAATATATAATAAGAATTATACATATCTTTTAAGTGTATGTAGTAACAAGCATATACATCAAGGAATTTAATATCAAATTGCATTTACTATCGAATAATAATCATATTACTATTTTCCTTTATGAAACTCTGTGATTAGTTTGTAAATTAAGAGCAATATATTAGCACTATATCTACAGATAAATATATTTACAAACTAAATACTTAAATGAGATTTTTCAATTATTATTTTTCTTTTTTAATAATATATTATAAATATTTCTGTTAATAGCAATAAGAGAATACGTTTTAAATATTGTGAAAAATACTTATTACACGCTAAATAACGAAATGATATTTTCATTATAAAAATCATTAATAGAAAGTCAAAAATATTCGTTTAATATTGATGTCAAATTTTTATTTCAAGCGATCACATACATTGTAACAGACATAAATAGGTACTCTAGCTGTATCATTTATTATATTGATAAACTATACATTTCTTTCGAATACTCGACTCGAAGTCACATAATGTGAACACATTGATAATTATATTTTTATAGAGATAAATCTGTTGTAAAGCCCTTGCATATTTATCGTAATTAAATTATGAATTCTCAAAACTTTTATATATGATAAATGGAATACAACGATACACGTACTGAATGCCGTAATATAAAACCTTTAATACAACGAATGTAACGTGCACAATAACAATGTTAAGTCTTAATAAATGTTAATAGTCTAAAAACTGTAAAAACAAATGGAGACAACACTTTTCCATTAAACCATATAATAATTGAACAAGGTCAAATCGTTTCTCGATTAATCAGGTTTCAAGCAGTCTTATATAATCACATACATTCAATTATGTAATTATTATTAGAAAACAACAATATATCTTGAGAAACAGCTTCATAATAGAATTGTTTTTTAATAAAATAATTATAAATTATTTCAAAATATATGAATTGTGTTGCTTTCTATGATTTTTAATAACTTATTATAATTGATTCTATGCATGTGTAGAAACTTTTAGAAATGTTTCAATACAAAATCTACATTAAAAAACTCTTAGACATATTTTTCTAAATGCGATCTAAAAATGTCTCATTCTAAAAATGTATCACGACAATTATTCGCAACAGTTTTGTAACTGTTATAATGGTAACCAAAGTTTTTGGTCGTTTACGAGTAGCTCAGACAAGCCTTATAATTGTAAAAATTTCGAATTCATTCATTTTACACAATAGTAATTACGTAATAAATATTTATTATGCGATAATTACTGTTTAGTATCATTTATTCTTAACATTATTATTATTATTAAGATTATTATCATTAATTATTTTACTTTCGTAGACGCATGTGTCTTAAGGATTTAATAAAATCAACAATGGATACTTTTTCAATGACAAAGTTAAAAAAAAAGATTAATAATTTTCGTAACACGTTAAAAATCGGAATGTAGGGCTCATGTTATTAAGGAAAAAAATTTTTTTGTTCACACAATATAAGACTCGAATAATTAAATTAAATAATACTCAGCGAAATTTCAACATGAAATTTTGTAAATTTTAAATTATCATAAGCGAACAATGCTTATATGCGTTCTTATCAAATACATCATTACGTCTTCCTTTTGGTATAATGTTGTTAATTTATAAATTTAGCATCCTTGGCTATGTTATCTATTTATGAACTTGTGCGTATTTCAATTTAATTTTTATAAGCTATCATTGTTGAACTTTATCATTTCTCCATTTAAATTTTGTAAATTTTAAAAAATGTCAACATTTTTAGAGCAGAAGAATTCCGCTCTATGTCTTTGGAATAAAAATTTTATGCCAAACATTTGATTCTAAGATAAATCTGTTTCCATATTATCACGATTTTTATCATTTTTAACTATTCTAAACCCGCAAATTCTATGACAGTAAAAATACAGTGAAAAGATTAAAAAAATTATCTGCTTTTCATTCGGTTGCAATTATTCGGTTCAACTTATTATTAGACTGTTTTATACGATAATTAAGTTATCAATTTCTAATAAATATTCAAATATAACTGCATATAATTTATAATTACAATTATTTTAATCCTTTGCAAAAGAACAACTGTTTAAACTCCTTGAATAGTTAAATTAAGGATAATTTAATATTTACAATCATTATAATTAGTAATATAATTAACCGAAACGTAACACTAAACTGTGAATAGAAAATAGAACAATTATTATATTGGGCTGATTTCTTAAAATTAATGGTACAGCGTTTGGATTCTAGGACTAACGATAGTGTATAAAATATATAATATAATATAATATACCCGTGAGATAATTGCATGCCAGATAAACCTTGATCGAGAGCGAAAACATTTTTATGTGTAATATGTACACCGGGCATATATAATGTCTGCGTCATTGTATAATATCAATGATGAAACTGATGATGATCACTGTACACCGGTGTTATATAAATTATTAAAAATATGATATGAAACCAAAGTTACAATAATAACTGATTAATGAATGTTAAACTGAATGTACAACTTATAAATGGTGACTAATAATCGTTCATTAATAATGATCGATTTAATAATAAACATTATTAAATATCTAAGTTATTTTGAAAATGACTTTGAATATTACAGATGCGAATACGTTTTTGAAGTAATATAGTTACGCAATAAATAACTTGCTCATAAGCTTGACCTTGGAATTATCAGAAATACATATATCAAATATTTTTTACAAATTTACAAAACATAAATTATTTTTTTTCTGAATATCTTCACGAAAGAAATAAACAATTTCTCTATCAAATATAGACATAATATCCACGTCAAAATCAATACGTAATTCTATTATTCCATATATGTAATACATAATAAAACAACATACTATACAAATAAACGATATATAAGTTTGTCGATTAAGGTGTTCAATAAGAACGATAACATAAACCTTTGATCGGCGAAGAAACTTAACACGCATATCTATTGCACGAAAGATAAAGTCAAGTGCGGATCATCAAACGCGTAAACGATCCAAGGTCAAAGAATGAAGCATACGTACATAGAGAGCGGGCAATGAAGCGATAATGAAGCTAAAAATAGTGTGATACATGAAAATACGAACATATATTCTACTGACCGGTGGCATCCGAATCCTCCTTTGATGGAACAGACCTTAATCGATTGGGAACATATCAATTGAAAACGAAACTTATCGATAACGATTGAATGAATGAATAGCGAACCTGAAAGCGAGTTGATAGAAAATTGTCAAGAAAAATAAAATTGTGTTTTTTGTATACACGAATGAAAGAAAAATGATGAAAGAAGAAAGATTTCGTCCTTATTTCTTCTGTAAAGAAAGATCCCTAAAGATATGCAAAGCAGATCTTGAAAATCTGTCTTTCATAAATTACCAAAAACCTCCCGCACTACGACCACCAGGTGGATTGTTCACGCGGATACAAGCTCTTCTTGCTTCCTCGACATCCTCTGCGAACATATAATTTTTTCAATATTGCCTCTATTTTAAAAGGAAAAAATTCTTTTCTAACTACGTACCACTGATAGAAAAAGTAGAGTCTTGCAAATTTCTCTGTCCTTCTAGTCGTGGACCTTTCGATGATGGCGTAACCACAGCAGAATCAGGTAGTGTTGGCATACAATCGGGTACTGAAATTTTCGGTTTCGGACTTTCGTAAGTACCGTTTGTTTGATGACTCTTCGCGAGTGCTGCAGCTGCCGCTCTTGCTTCCTCTTTGGCTTTCGCGATAGCGGCGTCCTCCTCGGCAAACTTCTTCGCCTCGGCTTCGGTTCGCGCTACACCGCGTGGTTTCTGAACGTATAATAATGAGTCCAGTTAAAAATGATAATTTTTAAATTACAAATAATTATTCGTTTTTTTTTTTTTTCATTTCGTAACGTTCAATATTCGTATCTCTATTCCGTTAGTAGTAGTGAAGAGAAAGATACCTTTTCTCTGTCTTCAATCATATCGTATACATAATTAGCATGGCTTGGACTCTCGACGAACTTTCCGAATCCATGAACAGCTTTTAGCTCACACTCGTCCACGCAAACACGACCTTCCACTATAACATACTCAGGTACCCCATGAACTTCCATACCCTGAAAAAAAAAAAAATAAAATTAGACAAAGTGAAACTTATTGGCAGAGAAAAAAGAATCATTTCGATCAAAACTAATGTATATAAAACAGCATGTGCTACGAGCACTGATAAAATTTTCTTTATCGTTCACAACGATGTTGGCTTGATTGAACTTCCTGTGGGTCAGGGTAAGATAAATAGAAAATATGTACGTCCTGCGACTCAATATCGAGGCAACAAAGGCTTTATTAAAGGCTTAATATTGGCCAGACCTTACCTCGAAGATGTTGAAGTCAACGGCCTGGACATGCGTTTGAGCGGAAATCGTACGCTTCCTGTTAGGGTCCCAGACAACTATATCGGCGTCTGAGCCGACCGCTATCACTCCCTTTCGTGGATAAAGGTTGAAGATCCTTGCAGCGTTGGCGCTGGTCACTGCCACGAACCTCGTAGGATCCATTATTCCAGCGTGCACCCCTTTCTCCCAAACAACCGACATCCTATCTTCGACGCCGTTCACGCCATTGGGGATCTTTGAGAAATCATCCTTGCCTAGAGCCTTTTGTTCGGCGTTGAAGGTACAGTTATCGCTACCGGTAACTTGAAGGCCGTCTCTGACGAAATAGAAAATCGTTGAAGTAAACGATTCATTAAAATTTTGAGAAATTGATATCTTAAACAAGCAGAGATCTATAGCAGAAGAACGAAAGGATACCTTGACATCTGTTAAGCTAAAAAAATTGTATAATATGTAGCTATATGTATTATAATATTATGTGATGTAATCGATTTATCGAGTAAACGGGTAAAATTGAATGCTGACCGTAGAATGATCTTTAAACGAGTTTTCCTCTGCCCATTTAATTAAGTTTAATACCAGATGCTAGATAAAAATGACTTCCCACGCGGTGTCTATTAAAATTAAGTTCAGTTAGCCTTATATCATGCGTGCCAATTTGTTGCTGTAATTTATCATTGTCATTTGAATTCTCTCCGCTTTCCAAACCCATTCCCTTTCCCAACGCAACAGCGTGAAAATTGTTTTATCTCGTATGCTTATCCATTTACAGTTTTTCTGCATTAAGTTTCCATATAGAGTAGAAATGAGTTAATTATCAACTCGAACGTAACAACGATACTTGAAAGGAGATAAACAGAGAGAAGAGAAACTGTTTAAATGAATCTCCACTTTGCTATATCATTTATTTCATTAATCGATTTCTCGATTACGTTGTTAAAATTTACAATAAAAAAAAGAAATAAATCATCGATTACTTTAAATAAATCGTGTTCGTATTGAAAAAAAAAAATTATCTCTTTAAAGTGTATTTTTACATTTTCTACGTTAGCAACTTCAACGACTATCTTTTTAATTAAAGTGAACCAAGAGTTCGAATTTTTTTTTTTTTTTACTTACTGTGCTAAGTGTTCGATTAGATAGGCAGGTGTTGTAGAATCAGGTCTCAATGGTGGACTAGTAACGTAACGTCTGGCTTTTTCGATATCTTTCCCATATTGCTCGCTACCATCGATACCCACGGTACTTGCCAGAGTTTCTCCAAACAAGACAACACCCTCCGACTTTTTCGAGGATACAACATCAGCAGCAGATTTGCTCGACAATGCCGTTACGTACAGTGGGCAATTCACCTAAACGCGATATTATCTTGTCTCGTTTATCCTGGCATCGATTTTATTGATTATATTAATGTGATCACAGCCGAAAAAAAAAAAAAGAATTTTCTCTCGTTATTCAAATTATCTTGGATTTATTATTTTTCAGAATAAAATATTATTATTTTCAGCCGTGTTCACGATATCATGACTAACTACAGTTTAGAGATAACTACAAATTGAGCTACATTACTTTTATAATACCGAGGAAGAGAATCGTGCCAGCTGTACAACGATGATTTCAAATATAAAAGAAATAGGGCAAAGGAAAAGTAATACCGAACTGCAGTTACGATCAGTGTGCATGCACGAGAATTTCGACGGAACATCTAAATATAATTTCTGATGCATGCAATATCGGGGAGCTATAATTATACTTTAATACTTATCTATTGTATTTTAATACCCTTTTAATACTTATCAATTGTTGCAACAATTTGGAATAAAATTAAAATAATAGAAATTATTTTCGAAATTCCATATAAAATACGTAAAATGCTATAGATAGATCTCAATAGAGATTACCATATTCGGTATTCATGATAGTACGTGACCTCATGTATCTTGCAAATTCCAGATTCTTAAACCCCATGAGATTTCATGCATCCTCTCAAAAACTAAAAAGTTGAAGAATATTCGATTTTTTTAAATCCTTTAAATCCTTTTTGTAAAACAATATAAATTTCACAAAAAAACTTTTTTCTGAACTTAGAATTGTTTCTTTAAAATTTTAATGAGTTTAGGATGATCTCTGCGCAATCTCATAGAATTTGTGTACGATTATAAACATTTTATACCTTTGTTGCAACGCTGAAATTAATTTTTATTAATTAAATTAAAAAATATATATAAATTACCATTTCTAAGATTGTAAGATCTATACTTTTATGAACTAAACTAAAAAACTAAAAAATAACGTGTAATTTTTTAATCATTTTTCGGTCAGCGAAATATCAGCGATATTTTTTCAAAGTGCTAAAAGTGTAGTACTTATTAATAGAATTCATTTCTACTTTATATTTAACGTAAGCTATTTTTTTTTTTCATTCACTCGTAAAATAAAACATATAAAAAAAACTACATATAATAATAATAATAATAATAATAATAATATCATGGCAACTCGACATATAGATACACTATTCTCTGGATGTCAAAGTCACCTTAATCAAAATTCATGGTGGCTTCGACTCACTTGGCCAACATATTCAACAATGCACGTGGTGTATCTGGGTCTGGTCTTAGAGGTGGACTCAAGACATGCGCCGCAGCGTGTTTCCAGCATTTGTGCGCGTAGTTGGTACCATCTGTGCCAATTGCAGCTGCCAAGGTTTCGCCGAAGATGCAACTGCCACGCTTACGCGCAGCATCCACCGCTTCTGCGGCGCTACGACTCATCACATGCACTACATATAGTGGACAATTGACCTAAGCATGCAGAATTTTGATCGATTTATGCTTTAGTGTCCTTAAAAATAATGAAACTTCCTTTCGTAAAAGTATAATGAATTGTTTTGAATTTTTAAGCTGAAACAAAACAATAAAGTATCTTCTTTTTTTAATAAGATCATATAAAAACTATTTATAATAAACTTCTTTATATCTTTTAACGATAAAGAAGATAATTACGTATTTTGAACTGAATCGAAAAGTATCATTCATTCCAAATTAAAACTATAATCACATAAAGCGTATATCCAATTAATAAGCAGTTCTTCAAAATACTATGATACATTGATTTATAAAGTAGCAGTGCTTGAAGTGATAAACACAAGCGTACTTATAAATATGATCATCTAAAAATCTTCTCCACACTCATCTTCCTTACCTGATTAGCTATAACACACGCTCTATTCACAGCTTCTGCCTCTACTTCCTCGGGACGCGACATTTCGTGACCTTCGGGTCCCGTGACTCCAGCATCGAGCAATCGTTTCGTGTTCTAAAATAATTTCTGCCTAAATTTCTCTGAAGATTATGTAATATATATATATATATATATATAGTGTCTATTTTCATTAGATGGAACATTACCAAACATGGTAACAGTTGTTAAAATGTTCCAACATAACGTATCGCTCGCTCTTATTTCAAGGATAAACTATGTATATCACGATATAAATCACGACGACATCTCCTACCTCCGCAATAATGTCGCCATTTTCTGCATGAACCATAGCAACAGCACCGAGCTCCTTGCACGCTTTGAACGTCTCAATTAATTCTGGATCCCTGATCATATACAGGTCACGATAGGCCATGAACATTTTGAAGCTATTGACACCGTGATCCTTCACCAACGTAGCCATTTCTTCTTTGATCTGCGGTGCAGAAAAATTATGAATAGCTTAGAATAAGAATTATTTCAAACGGATAAACAGTCTGACAAGCGTTAACAAATAAGGAGCACGTCGATTTGCATGCATCCGTACGCGATTTCCTCACTCGATCGCTCGGTATTCCATTCACGATCGTGATTACAGTTACAAAGACGCTATGGCAAAACAGCTGCAGTTACCAGATTCGTACGATTTGCCAATTTGCCGCGAGATCGGTTTCACCATATTTAGGAACGGAGCGGAGTGGATTCGTCGCACGATCTAGGCCGATCCTTTATGCTCGTTCTGAGTCTAAATCGTCCGTTGAACGATGCTACTAACACCAATAATCGATTCGACAATTTTCGAAACGCAATTTTTTCCGCTCATTTCAGCGCCAATTTCAATTGATCGATTGATCATTTGATAAAAAGAACGATCGAAAGAGTGAGGGGAAGCGTTAAGCGTAACACGTTCTCCTATATAATTTCCGACGATTATCGGTGAATTACGTAAATTCTATTTGCGATCTGAATGCCATTTGTCAACATTACGCTACTCCACGGTAGCACTACATTTAATTTCATAAAACGACGGCGATGAAATTAAAAGAGACACGCAAGAAAGAGGTCGTGCTTTCTTTTCCAGGAAGGACTCGTATTATTACGGTAATTATCTCATTCTGGCTAAATAGAATAGAGAACGCGTGTGAACTGTATCATAGTGATGTAGTCATCGTTTTAGAACGCGACTGCAAAATCTTTCAGATCCATCGTCCCTAACGTTTCCTTTACATTTATATTTGATGAAACGGGGAAGAAGAGATCGTTCTTTCGACATTCGTCGATTTGTTTTTCAAAGGGGGCTCACTTTTGGACTCCAGGACGTGATGGCGACGTGGAGCGAATAATCGCAGCAAACTTTCTGGTCGGCGCTCTCCCGGTACCTCTCGTACGCCTCCAAAATTGATTCGTCCTTCTTGGGGATGACAAAGTCGATGATCATCGTCGTACCACCGGCGACAGCTGCTTTGGTGCCCTGATAAAAATCGTCCACCGTCTTGGCGCCCATTAACTCCAATTCGAAATGGGTGTGCGGATCTATGCCACCGGGCATCACGTACTTTCCACGGGCGTCGATGATTCTCGTGCCACCTGGTATTATTAAATTACGGCCCATTTGCCTGGAAATATAACGTTCTCCGTGTAATCGGAATGCATCGGAAACGAGCGATTAAGCGCTCGTAACGTTAGAAATCATTATTATTATTTAAACTCATCGAATCGTTCAATCATTAATTTTTTCTTCAAAAAAAGGAAAGAAGAGCAATTTGGATAATTTCCAACACAATTACACGGCTCTAAATAAAATATTCAATATTAACAAAACTTTTAAAATCTTTTCAATAAGTATTACATGTCACGCTTGTTTGACAAATTATACACCATCATCGCGTTATCTTTTCATGCCGCTCATTGATAAAACGCGTTGTATCGCGTTTCGCTTGCGCAAAGTGGCGAATAAACACGCGAGCGGAATTTCGAATGAAACGTCGATCGTTCGTGTACATATATATAAATCAAAAAATTTATTTGTTCACAAACTTTAATTTATCATCACCTTTGACTTGTGCAACGATTATGACAGAATAAATGCCACGTTGGAGATATTGGATGGACAATCGAAACGCGACAAATTCCACGCTATTTCGCGTTTAGTAATTATACATGTGCATGAAAATGAGAAGAGTTAATGTTTATGAATATATATAATGTAACCAGTCTTACTTTATGATACCATCTTCGATATAAACGTCATTGTCCGTGATTCCATCGTCGTTCACCACCTTGCCGTTCTTAATCAACAGCCTGTTTTGCGCGCTCTGGAAACAGAACAGTGGATATCGTTTTACGCGGATCTTTTCAAAAAATAAAACCACAAGTTGTAATAATGCCGAATGCTATTGAATGCTAACCTTTGAGGAGATCTTACTGCACGTGCTTATTACGTAGACATCGTGTAAAATGTAGTTTACTTACTCCTATATCCCCTGTTAATGTAAATATCAATAAGTTTCTAGCGCGACTAGCATATTATTATTTTTAAATAATAATATTTTAGAATCATGTTTTGTATCATCGTCTATATTTTACATCGTACAATTTCTGTTATTAAAGCCACCAACATGGAAGGTACTTATAAATAGGGGAATCAAGCATCAATTTTCTAGTTGATATCAAACTTTTATAGGTCACCCGTCCACGAGAGACTTTTATAAATGAAAAATATCCGATACACAAATTTATCGAGAGGCGGATAGATAGATAAAAACGATTGATACCATCGACTAAAAAAAGTCTTTGCCTCGAACAAAATTACTTCCCATTGAGAATTGTCGAAACCCCCCGCATACTGTCCTTGATATTCGTTTGCAACGTGCGTCGGATCCGACATCCGGTGCAGACGATTAACGTGCGTATATTGCCTCCATGCTATGGTATACCAATCAGTATATAATAGAAGTTACGCTTCACGCACTTCCGCCAATGCTGGATTTAGAGCAGTAAGTACCCCGATGTGCCACGACTGATAAGCGTAAGACTCCCTGTTTCGCGATACATCTTTCCATCCGAAGGAATACGGGTTTCTCTTCTGTCGTGCAAACGTTCTCGACATGGAAAACGCGCGGTTTTTCGCTGATCCACTTCGGTCATTACCATACAATCACGATTTAAAAACTCGTGCTCCTCGTTTCCGGAATGAATAAAGAAATGCATATATTTTCGCCACGTTTCCGCGCTAATTTTCCTTACGAGAATATATATTTCTCACAATTTTTCTCGGATTATATATATTTTTATATATTATTCATGATTGCGTAAAATGCATGATCTATTTTAAGATTCGTATTATTTATTTCGTTGCATTGTATCTCTCGATCAATAACAAACTTGTAAAAGACATTCAAATGCATGCAATCTCGAATATCGAGTAACCCTTAAGAATCGGCAAATTGTATGAACGCAACGAGACTCGTGCGTTAAGAATAAAGATCACGACCTCGTGTTAGGGCAGACAAAGAAGAGCGGACGAAATGTATAAATATTAGCGTGGATCATCTCGCAGTGGGGCAAATTGAAAGGAGTCCGCGGACTGTATAAAGAACTTTGGACAATCAACCCGTGAGGCATTCCCCATTCGTGGAAAGATAAAAGCGGTTAGGGGAGAAAGATCAGAGAGACTATAGAGGGAGAGAATGGTGGAGAGAGAGAGAGAGAGAGAAAAAAAAGGACAATCTATCGTTGTCACAGCCACTACCTACGTTTCATAACCGATCCAGGGTCCACACCCTTCGCATTCGGTAATGCAACGCGTGCTGCAACAAACCCTTCACACGGACCCCGAGGTCTCCGCCCCGTGAAATCGCCTCGAACCCCTTCTGGTGAATCTAAACCACCGTGAACTGCCTTTCATGAAATCGATCCCAATCCGCCTCGCCCCTCGAAGTGTCGCTGGAAGGTGTACTTTGTTAAATCGAATCTCACCGTTGAAAAAACGAGGGTGGTGTCTATCGGATGTTCACGCGGATGTGAACAATTAAAAGGGCACGATCTTCTCCTCTCCTGAGACTAGAAATGGTGGGGAGGATAACCTTGGTTTTAAATCTGGATGGAAATGGAACGAATATCGGCGGCTAGTTGGCGTAATTCACGTGGGCAGAGAGACCTTGTCATCCTCAACTATGTATATAGTTATTAGGCACGGGCGTGAACATGTGCGTTTCATGTGTTAGAGGATCCTCCGCTTGGATATTTTCAGCAGACGCACGCTTAAAATACGTTGCCCGTACGCCAGCGCGATTTTTCAGAAATGAAATTCTATCGTCCACTCTGAGGCAGGGTTAATATCGATTCCCGTCACTTCGTGAATTTATTATAGTTCTATATAGAATATATCATTTGTCCTACGAATAGTTAAATATTTCAACGAGCGTACGTTGATCGTGCTTAACGATAAGTATTTTAACAATTTTGGCCCCGTTCCGTTGGTTACACGATTCGATCCATCAATCTATCAAGTACTGTATATAGGCCATCAAAGTATTTTCAGTTTCGACACGCTTGTAATCAAACGTGTAGAGAAGTATCTGATAAAGAACAAAAGCACGAAGCGTCGCAAAATCTTGTATCCCCGGCACGGAACTACGCTCCTGGTAAAATCGATATCTCCGACATTTTCCGGCAGCCGTACCACGAATTCGTCTCAACGGGAACAAACATCGTCCAAATGGAAGATCTTATCGTTCGGATGAGTTTAGTTCAAGATTCAGTTCCGATTTAATCGGGGCCGTTATTCTTATCGGGTGAATTCGATGGAATCGTGTTTCCTTCTCTCGTTATTCCGTTCGAACACATTCTAATAAAGGCAAATTCGTATACGGTTGCGTGCACCGAGATGTTGTCGTTCCAGTCCTGGTTCAATTAAAAGGCGATTTCTTTGTTAATTACAGTATCGAGCCCATCATGCGATTAAGCCGTCGAGAAAAATGGTAATTGTCCGCTTTCACGAAGGGAAAATGATTTTCCTACATTCATAAGGAGCGAAACTCGCCCGGTTTCTATAGCTGATTTCTTCTTCGTCGAAAACGAACTGGACACGTGAAGAGAGAAAATATCCACGGTGGCTGGCTCGTCGTGATCCGACGAAAGACCAGCCATATATCGTGGTCGGTTTACTCGACAAACATTTGTCTTTTCCACCGTATAAACGAGCTTTGAAGGTGCGCACATATTCGGTTTAATACATGGGATGTGACTAAACAGTAATTATACGTAACGTTACATAATATACCACGTTTTCTTAACACTTTCTTAGAACGTTAAGAAAACACGAGGAATTCATTTGTTAAACCAAATCGTACTCAGCTTGCGGCCTTGCGTTCAGATATACTCGAGATATAATTTGAAGATTATTGGAATCTATTTGGAAAATTGAAGAAAGTTATAGAATTTATTTATAGGTCGTATTAAATAGGAAAATGTTGATAAACATTGAATCAAACATAATATTTTCAGAAATTAACGTCTGAATGTTTACTATCATTCAAAGTTTTGAACGTAAACACAAAAAAATGGTAATAATATATCAAATGATGTAATATACTCGATAAAATACGAATACGTCTTTGCACCTGTATAATGAAATGAGTGAAAAGAGGACAGGAAAAGGGTCAATACCGATCCGACAAACTGTTCCAATTTCCATCCGCGATTAACTGCCGCGAAAACGACTGTAGCTTGCACCTGGCTTCCTAGTGTCTATTTACGTTGTGAGAATAATACTGGTAATCTGCATTTCGGTTGACCGACTTCCATTCGACTAATTTTGCCATCAAGTTCTCGGTGAGGCAAACAGACGACAATAACTCATGTTCAACCACTTGTATATACTGAAAATATATATTGAAAATACAAATAAAATTTTTAGAAGAACAAATACTTAAATCACTCGGTAAAGTTCTTAGTTAACGTTGATATAATTGTTCATATAATATTTATTTTCTGCTATTCTATCGATATCTTCTTTTATTCTCAGTAATTATTCAATCGCTTCTCAATTCATCCCTTGGGAAAACTGTTAGGAAAAAAAAAAGATCCGATAGATATAATCTATATACATATAATCTATATTCGTATTCGTACAGATTATCAAATCAAAATATTTCCTAGAAAAAAATCCATTCCACCTTTTCCAAGTAGTCTAAGCGAGATAAAAGGCACTGGTAAAAATGCCAGTCAACACCCGCAGTTTATTTTTGCTCGCGGAAACCATTCTGGTCTCGCGAACAGCTCGCAGAGACATTTAACACGAAACGAAGGATCCGTGATTCTTTCGTGTATATATATATGTACACATGCTTTTCGTTGGCCGACGAGAGAGCGTGCACATGCTCGTAAAATCAAGCCCTGTGTGGTTTTTCCGACTTCAGGTCGTATGTAGTGTCGACGAACTATTGATTCGCCGGCGTAGCCCGCTTATACATCTCTGTCTCTCTATAGCTTTTACAAACGTTCCAGTGCCGTACGATTTTTCCAACTATATACAAATCATCATCGAGAACCATCTACCGTATATATGTAAGTCTTTTCTTTGCTGTTGATTTCATCATATTCTGAAGAACAATCGGTCAATCTGTCGTCCGAAATAGTTTCGACAAACTTTTACCTTATAATCGAAACATGCGATATTATTTGATGTCGCTGGAAAATCATTCGTTAAATTACTCGTTCACAGTCGAGAAATTCTCATGAATTACATAAAATGGTGTAATCGGTGAAATTATTTGTAGAAAAGAAAAACTTATTTACTTATGAATGGAAGCATATCGGTATTTATAATAAATGATTGTATGCCGAGATGTATTTTCTCGTTCTCATGCTTCGATTTTACGTTTCTATGAAAGTAATAATTAATTATGCGTAGAAAGAATACGTTTTAGCAAAATTATAATTAATTGGATATTCTGTGTTATTTATATTTGAATATCCGTAATAATTATAAGTAATTATTAATAACTATTGAAATATTAATTTTGAAAAGATAGATTTAGCTTCGATTACACAATAAGGTACAAATACTTAATCACAATTTACGAAATGAAATAATTGATTGATGACAATATTATCAAAGAAATTTAATAAATTAAATTACAAATTCATAATATTTAATAATCATAAAATTTCAAAAATTGTATTATCTATCGTCTACGATACTTCACTTCATATCACTTCATAAATATGATAATTATAGAATAATGAATATAACCTATAAGAGAGAGAGAGAGAAAGAGAAAGAAAAAGAAATATTGTGAATACAAAGATATATCTACTTTTATTGTTTCTAGATTAAATAGACACATTGCACTATGTACAAACCTAATGTATATGTGCATTTATGTTTTTGTCGACATACAAGTTGGCTCTTTTCGCGAGATAGACCGGTGCCGAGCGCCAAGACGGTTGGATCAATAAGGCAGCAACCTTGCCATCGACGCGATAGTGCGACAAAACTTTCGGTTTTAACAATGACGCAGAGATGTTTATATTTATAAATATATTATCTGTTATAATATTTTGCATTTCTAAATATATCTATTTATTTTATATATTTTCGAAACCACAATCATTTAATAATGCTTTTAACTTTATAAAATGAAAAAATAAAATAGCGATTTATTAATATCGGAAATGAGAATAATCAAAATTATAAAATTTTTTTAAGATTTTATCATCATATTATATTAAACAATAATTTTGCATTTATTTTGCATCAAATTATTTGTTTTTTCATATTGTTCTTTTTTAATTATAAATGGTTTATTAAACTCGCTTTCGTTATCGATCGTCAGTTCAGTAACCTCATACATGGTATTCAAGTTAAAATTATAAATAATTAGAACAGTAAAGAAATTCGAATTTTTAAGACTAAAAACATATTTTAAGAAAATGAAAGAAAATATGCATATTATATGCTTGAATATTATAAATTAATTGTTACAAATAAAAACAGATCAATATGACATTTTGATGATGAGGGCTACTCTGAAATCACGTCAACAATATTGAATATGGGGATTAATTTTATTATTGTATTAATTATTATTATTATTTCAGAAATAATATCGATTTAAATTGCACGATTCATCAACACTTATCATAGATGTTTATAGATTGCTTTATAATTATATTAAATTTTATTTATTTTTTCGCGAACTAATTATTGTTTAATTACTAACTCTATTTTTGATATTATATTGGACAAAAAAATTTTTTTTATACAAATAAAGTATTATATCAAGATAAGAATATTTTATATTTTTGCATAATGTGTTATTTTTATTTTTAAATACTTATTTTGTCCGTTATAAAACATGCAACGCCAATGATATATGCTTTAATTATAAAAATTTATAATAAGAATTACTTTATCGAGATATATATATTTACTACATATATATTAATAATTTATATAATTTTAATGAAATGATTCTATAAAAATGTATAGGATTTTAGAATTCTTTGTATTTCAGCATCACACGTGATGCAAATACAATTTAATACATAACACTAGATAAGCCGGTGTTTGTTTCAATCATACTTACAAATAGAATATTTTTACGCAGTTTTTTACGTAATGATATTTAAATGCAAAGAACTTCATAAATCGATAGAAATATACATAATAGAAATAAAAAAAAGAATAAATGAACAACTGACCTGCAGGTGAATAGGCACTTTCTTCACCGGCGTGCTCATTTTTGATTGAAGAAAAGATCACGTTGATTGAAAAGTGAAGTACACGATATTAAAGGTTACGTAGTATATTCTATACTAAGAACTGCGTATATACACTATTTTTATGAAAATTTACTTATGAAAAACGCCTCACTTGCGTAAAAATTTTCTTGAAGTGGAAATCAAAAAGAACAAGATCGAATCGAATCGAACAATCGACTACGACTGATGCTGAATGCGCGTCGCAGGACGATAGTAAATTTTCCTCCCCACTTCGTTTGTTTCGGTAAAGGTGGGGACCATCCCCACTATACACGATTGATCACATATCTATATATAATTTCAAAAGATATATTTTGTACTTATATATCTTTTTATATTGATACTTTATATTTTATTAAATTAATATAATATTGAATTAATTCTAAATCTAAAATTAATTCTAAAAATTAATTATATTCTTATCTTTTATCTTATTAATAAATAAATGCTAAAATATTTAATAATAATTTTATAATAAATTAGTTATTTGATAATATTTATTTAAAATTTTTAACTATTAAAGTTAAAAGTTTAAATGATACGCTTTAAAAAATATAAACTATATTTTAATTAATAGACAAAATATCTGTAACGATTGAATTCATTCCCGCTTAAATAAAACGCGGTACTTCCGTTTAAATATGGCTATTCGTTTACACATGAATCATGATTTATCCGAAGAAAAACAAAATGTATTGCATTTAATGCCATGTAAAATTTATGGTGACGAATTTGCAAATGTTTCCTCATATTTTACACCTTACATTCATAAAATGGATGACGAACGTAAGTTCATTAAATTTGAATATACAGTCAATAAATATATTTGTTTTTATAGAAAATATTACTTTAATTAAGATAAAATATTTAAGATATAAAGATAATTAAAATAAAGATCTTTCTATATAGATTATAATTCTTCATTTCGTGGATATCCACTTCAAGGAAAAAAGATAACAGTACCTTTTGGATATAAAGGTATTATATTTTTTGAACGCAAAAAAACAGAAATAGAAAATATAGAACGTAATTTATATTTAACGGGAACATTTTCACATTTTACCTATTGGAATTATGATAAATTACCATCTAAAAATGATGCTTTAAGAGCTGCAATAGATTGGATTGATATCGCTGAAGCAGTAAGTTATTTTATGTAAATAAAAAATAAAAGTTTTTTTTATAATTGTAAAATATAATGAATTTTTAATTAAAATATTTTTTTTTCTTAGCTACATTCTACAGAATCATAACTGAAAATAAATCTTAACATAATGTAAAGAATTCTTATATATTTCATGAATTATAAAAATTATTCTATTTTAATGTATAGATAAAAATAAATATTTTATATATTTTGTATATGTTGTAGTTTATTAATCATATTTTATACCATGAGCATATATTTTTGTCATATATAACAGATATTTTATTATCCTTTATTAATAGAGAAATATCGCAAATGATTTAGTTTAAATAGGAAAGCTGTTCAGAAATGTGCAGTCTTTTATAAGATAAATAGTAAATTTATAATTTATTTTATTATCTTTATAAATATATAAAAATTGTAATGAAGATGAAAGCATTTGCTATTTTTTGTTAGCACTAAAGATTTTTTTGTTACATACATATACTACTTAGTATAATATATCATAGTATTTTTAATACTGTTCATGATGACATCAAAGAAATAGATTATGATTTATAACGTAATAATTAATATAATATAATTCTTTGTTAAAGTTAATATGACATTCATATATAGTTATTTCTTTATGATCAATTTGTATAAAATTTATATAAAATGTTTTTGCAAATCATTTAATATATAATATATATTGGCAGTTTTAAAATAAATATTTGCAAGAAATACATGCATAATTCCTACAAGGGATTTTTTTATACATGCATACATATATATAACAATGGCAGTGTTATACAAAATTTTTTTAAAATAAACAATAATTAATATTTAAAAATTATAAATATTCACAATATCAAATATTTATATCAAAAGAGATATTAAATAAAGTTTTGTAATAAAATATATATTATAAAATTGTAAACGAAAATTATTATAGAAATAAAATTTTTTTTTAATAAAACTATTTGATTATTATTTCCTTTGGTATACAAGTAATAAATCATTATAAAATGTGTCTTTACTATTAAGGATCATTTGATTAACCTACACAATCTATTTACAATCATATTTCTAATACCCAGCTAATCTAAAAATAGGTCCATCATATATCACTTCACTTCATTTTAGCAAAAGCACCCTAATGTTTATTTATAAAATTAAAAAGTAAATAATATTTTATTTTCTTATAAAAAAAATCGATTACATTATTTTATCTAAAATTTTATAAAAAACTGTTTAGGAAAGAAAAAATATCCTTATATCTACTATTATACTGTATCTTAGCCTCTTCTACAATTATTAAAACTAGATATACATAATAAATAATCTGTAATTCTTTCTACTATTGCACGGTTTTTATTTTGTACCCTGATTTTTAAGTATTATTTTTTAAAGTTAAATTAAATATATTAAAAATTTAAATAATTTTTTTAAAGAATATTTAATAATAAATATAAAAACTTATTTTAAATATTTTTAAATTAAAAATTATATCTTAAATATCTGTTTTCTTCAATTCAATGTTAAAAAAAATAATAAATTAAATTAGTCTTATTATTGTGTAAAAAAAAATATTCATTATATTAAATTGTATTGAATGTGACTATATTAAATATTTATTAAATCTGTGCGTTTTAGAGATTATATAAAAATTTCAATGTTTATATATAATATTGATTATGAAAATGTGCCTAATTCATTTGCTTGTTCTTGATGATACTTATTCTGATCTTGTTGTTGTTTAATAAATGCACTCAATCTATTAAGTAAAAATTGTTTATCATGGCCTTCTAATACTAATTGATTTTTTAAAACTGTTACCATATGTTTGTTTGCTATCGATACAGCATAATAATAATATAAAAGTAAAGTAAGAATAACAAAAGCTGGTACACCAAATCCAGCAGTACCAAGAAAATATAAGATAGATTGGAGCCAATCAGGAAATTCTGTAAATGTTACAATTAATAATGACCATACAGATCTAAAACCTCTAAATGGCCCACAAGATTTTGATGGTAAAATTTCTGCAATAGAATAACCAACTGGTATTGTAGATAAAATAAAAGAAATTAATAAAACTAACATAAAAAATGCATTTAATTTACTTGCTCTATAAACTTTACTTGATGGAATACTGTTTACCAAACATGCAAATTTTTTTATATAAAATAATAAAAAAGTACCAATTATTGCAACTAATGGCAGTAAAGGTGCAAAAAAGAAACCAAGCCAACAGACAGTTTGTAAATAAACAACATCTAACACATGCTTAGATAAATCAAATTCTTGTTCTCCGAAAAAACGTAATATTTTGTTTTCTGTATGTTTAGCTATTAATGATCTAGGAAAATTGACAAAAAATGTCATGAAAAATTGAAAAGAAAGATCAGTGATATAGAGTTTGAAAAATTGTTGTCCTACAAATGTTTCCCAACACAATGGTCGCCTATTGGCAGTATTAGTACACTCATTATCCATTACTTCCGTTACAATTAATCTATAAAATGATGTAAGTAAAACAATTAAAGAAGAAAGTCGTAAAAAAACAGTTCGGAGAAGAGTTATATTTATAACAAATGAAGGACTATAATTTTCTAAAGAAACTAAATATCGAAATAAAAATGGTATTGCAAGATTTAAAGCAACAATACATATATATGGAAGAAACTCGAAAAATAAGTGAGCAATTCTATTTAAAGATAAATACTGTAAATCATATGTTTGATTGATTTGTGTTGAAATTTCATCGAAAGAAAATTCAAATATATAGTAAATAAACATACCACATCCACATAATACTGTTAAAACTATTAAATTAATAAATAAACGCATAAAAAATAATTTTGTTGTTTCTTCTCTTGTTCGATTTTGTCTTTCTTCTTCTAATCTTTCAGCTTCTAAAAATGCTTTCATTTCATTATATAATGCTTTATGTTTTACTGCTGCAGATTTTTCATTATGTATACAATAATCCCAACCACCAAAAATTAAATTACAATATTGATAAAATTGGCCTTCATTTTCAATTACCCTCTGTTTGAAACTTTTAGCAGCTGATTTAACAATAGCTATTAAACTAAGAATAAATATACCAATAGTGGCAGAAATATAAGATAATGGTAAATTAAAAAATATACCAGAAGTATTATAACTTATATGACTATATACACCATAAAATAATAAAGTGTATTCTAAAATACCAATGTCTGTTATGCTATTACTCTCTTGAGTTATATTCTGATATAATTCTGAACAGCAAGATATACTATTGCTATTGTTAGAATTTATGCACAATTCTTCTTCTGGTATATCTAATAATATTGCAGGTAATACAATAAATGAAAACATAATTGTAAATAAAAGTACATTAAGATACATTAACCACTTGATAAATAAAAAGTATGCAACTATTCCCATGCCAAAATTTCCACCAATTGTTTTAAGACTATCATTCCATAATTCCATTTTTGAATATGTTTCCTTCATTCTAATACGAAATTGTTGCCAAACTTTTCTTCGTTGCCATTTTAATTGTTCAAAACCTTGTAATCTTAATTTTGTAGCACTCTGAAATATATATACAAATATATAATTTTTAATAAATTGTTTTTTGTTTATTAATATTATCATAAATATACTTGTAATTGATTTTTCAATTGTATTTTTTGTGCCATGCATACAGGCATAGCTTTAATTTGCATAATTTCTTCCCAAGTACGCTCTTCATTAGATAAATTTTCAGATAAGTCTGGTAACATAGAAACTGCTGCATCATGAATATTTGTTGACATACGTCTTGATGTTGTTGTACCACGAGATCTTGTACTAGTACGTCTTCTTAATGTTGTTTTTGTATCATTACGTATTCGTTTGGCAGTTGCTACGCAAAATATAAAATGCACAATACTTTCTATTATATATGCATATTTTATTATTATTACTTACCAACACGAGACTTTTTACTTGGAAGTAAAGTTGCAATATGAGAAGGATCTCTTTGTAATGCTTGTTGTAAATCTGCTTCAATAGCTGCAGGATAACTTTCTTGATAAAATTCAGCACCAGCCTCTTCCCAACCTTGTCCTCTATCACAAGCACGTTTTTTTCGTTCTCCTCCTGACATTTTCTTTTTATAAATAATTATAATATATATACGGAATTTCCTTCAAGACCTTACACAAAAAAATAAAATAAAAATTATTTATATATCATCTATTAGAATATTTGATATTTCTCAATTTTATTAAAAATATTTAAAAATAATTTTTATTATTTTTATATATTTAATTATTATGATATATTTTTATAAATAAACTATAATTTTTAAACAAACTATATTAAAAAACAATGTTAACAATAAGATATATGTGCGTTCGGTTATAAATACCTAATTATCATAAATATCTAAGATGAATCAATCAACCAAATATCTTGTAAATGTGTCATTGCTTAATAATAGATATCATTTTTTTATGTTGATAGATAACAATATTCATGGAAAAAATAACATTTTTAACAGATAAAACACTGAACTTTATAACTTATCATTATATGACACATACATAGAGTGTGGTTGTAAACTGTGACGTAAGCTGCGCGAGAGATATTTAAATATTATATTAAATCAAACCAAAATTAAATTTAATATTCCAATGTAATAAAATTTCTGATTTTTCCAAATGAATAAAATAAAATAAATATAATGATTTAATTGAAAAACGTACATCAACATTTTGTTTCCCCATATATTTAAACTATTGTAATTTATAAACGATTAATGGAAGAGTCATGAACTATAAGGAATATAGAAGGAATATTGCTCAAATCACGGATAAAAAATTGTAATTAAATAAATTTAAATTATTTTTCTTTTTTATATATTTTCATATGTTTTTATGTGTAATAAAAATTCTTAATTGCAGATTATAATTGATAAACTTAAAAAAATCAAATTAAACTCAATAATTATAATATATACATATATATTTGGTATATATTATACAATTAAATAATTTAAACAATAAATTTTGCTTTCTTACATATTACATTGTATAGATTAATTTCAATATATTCACTATTTCTTCATTATACAAAAGAATGCATATTTACAAAATTCAAACAAATACATAGCCAAAATTAATGTTCAGAACACAAGAAAGTCTTATAAAATAGGATACAATGATTATTTTAATTCACATAAGAGTAATTATTTATGAATAATATCAATGTTTCTTATCCATTTTTAGTTTAGAATTAATATTTGCATTTTATAACATATAATGTTTAAAAACAATGTTAGATATATAAATTTTAAGCATTTGTTATATAGAAATTCATTGATATTAATTATTATGCTCTGTGATGCAAATATCTTTTACTATTAATATTACAATCATAATAAATACATTACACAAAATATTTTAATATTGTCGTCCTCCTTGGCCTCCACCACGATTATATCCGCCACGTTGATAATTATCTATTCCTTGATTCCATCCTCCCTGAACTCTACCTCCTCTTCCTCGACCACTGGAACCTCCTCTTTGATATTGTTGTCCACTTTTATATTCGGATTGAGATGTGGGTCCTATATTACCTGGATTACAGTATCGATGACCATATCCTAAATATCAAAATACTTTATAATTTTAAGAAACAAATAACTTTTTTAATCAAACTCATTTATAAAATTTCTACAATTTTCACATTTTTATTATTGATTTTTTAGAAATTACCTCCATCTCTATTGTCTCCACTATAACTATTATTTCCGCCAATTCCATATCCA